TCTGTCCTGGGCGGAAAATGGGGGTGGCCGCTGCCTGCGGGTGTGTTTTCTCCGTGGAGTGAGCGGAATAAGCCAAGCTGTATTTAATTAACTAGTTGTATTAATAAAGCTATGAATGTGTGTATCTTAAAGTCAGGGTAAACTCCCCTCAGTTTGGTTTTGGGTATATTTGTCCAAAATATTATTTAAAATGAATGATGAAAGAGCATCCTTCCTTTCATCCTGAAAAAAAATTCTGTCTGTTTGCATTGCAAAACTCGCCTAGCCTCTGTGTTTAAACCCCGTATAGCTGCTGTTCCCAGTGGGTGCAGAGAATCGTTTGCCACAGCTCACTCTGAATCGGGTCTGTATGTTGGCAAAGACATTGTTTCGTGTCTCTGCCTCCTGTATTTTGTTTTTTTTTTTTCTAGCAGTATTCTGGTGTTTCTGTCTCCTATTAGTGATCTACTGTAAGATTTTTTTTTTTGTATAATGTTAACTTGAATATGTAGCTAATAATTCTTCATCTTGTATTGCTTCAGATTATACTTGCTGAGGTGTAGTTAGCGTGTGAGTCTGGGGATTTTACTTGGTTGTGTGTTTTTTCTGTTTTTTCTTTTTTTGGCTAAATTCTTTCGCTTTTCCAAATAAATCCTGTTATCTGTATGATCAGTTATGTTATTTGCCAAGGTAGCTTTAAAATAAGATCCTGTCCTCTGACATGCACATAGCCCTCCTCACACTGAGATATGTATGTAAATTTGAAGTCTTTGCTTCATTTTGTTATTTCAATTCTTAATCAGCATTTCAGATGATACTGAACCCAGAATGAATCCTGTACAACTTTACGCACTCTCGTAATCGTAGATCATCACAGAATCATAGAATGGTTTGGGTTGGAAGGGGCCTTAACAATCATCGAGTTTCAACCCGCCTGCCATGGGCAGGGACACCTCCCACTAGATCAGGTTACTCAAAGCCTCATCCAGCCTGGCCTTAAACACCTCCAGGGATGGGGCATCCACAACTTCCCTGGGCAACCTGTTCCTGTGCCTCACCATCCTCACAGTAAAAAAAAACCTTTTCTTAATATCTAATCTAGATCTACCCTTTCTAAGCTTGAAAACCATTATTCCTCATCCTGTCACTACACTCTTTGCTAGAGTGCCTCCCCATTTTTCCTGTAAGCTCCCCTCAGGTACTGGAAGGCTGCTATAAGGTCTCCCTGGAGCCTTCTCTTCTCAAGGCTGAACAACCCCAACTCTCTCAGCCTGTCCTCATACAGGAGGTGCTCCAGCCCTCTGATCATCTTCATGATCCTCCTCTGGACTTCTTCCAACAGGTCCATGTCTTTCTTAGTTTTGGGGGCCCCAGAGCTGGGCGCAGTACTCCAGGTGAGGTCTCATGAGAGTGGAGCAAAGGAGGAGAATCACCTCCTTTGACCTGCTGGTCACTCTTCTTTTGATGCAGCCCATTACACAGTTGCTGGGTCATTTTCAGCTTCTCATTGACAAACACGTTGGCTGTCACCAATCACCTCCTTATTTTCCATGTGCCTTAGCATATGTACCAAGAGGATCTGCTCCATGACTTTGCCAGGCACAGAGGTGAGACTGTGGTTCCCTGGGTCTTCCTTTTTTCCCTTTTTAAAATCTAGTAGTAGTTTGGTTTTTTCTTTCAACAACATTCAGTCTGTCTCTCACCTGTTGGCTTGATCTATTCCCAGTTGTAGATTTCTCAGGTACTACTGGTTGCCTAGTTTCTTTGTTACTTAATGTCTTTCTGTTTTTGGATGCTTCACATGTTGTGTTCTTTCTTCTACGTAGTGGGAAGACTTTTAATGTGAACAACCAAGCTTTAGGGCAAGCACAGGGAAGACGATAAAGAAAATGTATATTTATGTAATTGGTTTATGGCATAAATGTGAGCTCTTGCTTCTTTTTTTAGTGATGGCATGTGGCAATTACACTCTTTTACAGGGCGCTACTTCCCAAAACGACCCAAGCACATGCTTATAGTTGAAGCAAAGTTTGATGGTGAACAGTTGGCTACTGATCCCATAGAGCATACCGATCAGCCAGAATTTGCTACAGAATTGGCTTGGGAACTTGATAGGAAAGCACTTCATCAGCACAGGTAACCTTACGAACTTGAGTCTAATACGGAGACAAAATTTAATTTTCTTGTCTTTACAGCTACCGAGATATAATTTTTGTCTTACTGTCATCTGATTTTTTTTTTTAGAAACTTTCTTTTAGTGGTACACAGATCTGCCATAAAGTTGCTACAACAAAAGTAGTATATGGCATGATAAGTGGTATCTAAAAATTCTGCAGGGTATGCTTTTTACACTAGTGAAGAAAACCTCAAGACCTTATAGCAAATTAATGATACTGTAGTTCAAGCATTGGATTCAAGCTTGCTTATGTGTACTGTGACATAGCATTAAATTAACTTCAAGCCTGAAAAGCCTATGTATGTTTTGAAGATGTAAAATGAAAGAGCTGAGAAATTTAATAAGTTTTCCATAACTGTCATTCGGTTTGGACTGACAGAGAATAGTATTACTTCCATATTTTCAAATAAGCTAGAAAGACCATTTGTCTTTGATCACAGAATCGTATAGGGATGGAACAAGAGGAAAATGCTGAAATGTACCATATGCTAAACACCTTCTCTGTGCCCCTAAGTATTGTAAGGTGCTTTCCACAAAAAACTTTTGTATGAATCCTATTCAATCACAAGTGAAATTCCAGTTTCATGTGAGGTGAAGTGCTTATTTCTTGTACACGGTGAAATACAGCCTATTTGTCACTAAAGTCTTTTTAATAGCACTTAGGCTTTGTGAGACTCCAATACACTCCTCTTACAAAATTAATCCACTTGTTCATTCTCTCACTTAGTGATGAATTGCAGTATTCATGAAGTTCAATAAAACTCAGTTTCTGACCTACTAGAACTAGTTATGTAAAAAATTTTCTATCATTGGTATGCTTGAAACTTATGAATTATTTTTGTGAACTAATTACAGAGATAACATTTATATTTTGGATTTCAACTGAGTTGTTCTTTCAGGCTGCAGCGTACACCTATCAAACTGCAATGTTTTGCGTTGGATCGTGTATCTTCAGCTAAAGAGAATATAGGCTATATTGTACTTGATTTAAGGGCTGTGCAGGAAAAGAAACAGGTATGTTATAGGGTACAAAGCTTTTAAAATTTAGGTTTTGACAACAGTACTGTTGCAGATCAACTCCTGGTTGATCATGTACTTTTTTTTTTTTTTTTTTTGAGGGGGACATCTTGACTCTCTGTAAGAACATGGGCAGATGAAAATACTTTTGTACTTATCTTACACTTCTGAATTTGAGAATTGGGATACTTGTAAGCAATACTTTAATCAATTCAGTGATTTAATTGTCTGGGAAAATTTTTGAAAGCAATTGATATTGAGCAATTGAATTTAGTCTCTGTCATCAAATCAAGGCTTAAGTTTGGTCTTTTTAATTGGCCTCAGTGAAAGACATTTTAGGCAATCAGAAGTTGAAGGCCAACACAGCACAGAGTAAACATAATGTAGTTGTTTATATAAATTTAATAAAAATTCTGTGTTGTGCTTGATCAAAATGTAACTCTGATATAGGTCATAACAGGACCCCAATGTCTTATTTTGATATCACACTTCTCAAAGATTTATGATCTATGTAACTTACTGTGTACTTGCCATTGAGAACTTGAAGATTTTCTGTTCCAATTAAAGATTTATGGCATATTTTTCTTGCTAAGTTTTTTACTGTATGAATCAGTGGAAAAGAGTATATTCAGCTAGTCTTCCAAGAATCATTTTATAGAATCTTGTAGTGTAATAGTGTACTCAAAATAGACCAAATTTTTGTAACTATAAACAAGGTATAATCCTGTAGATGATGAGGTAGAAATGCTAGAGCAAGTGTAATTTTTCTGTAACGGTGTTATTATTATTTCCCCTTTTTAAAAATGCTTTTCATTTACATTCTTTTAATTATGTAGGCACCAAAATGGTATCCTCTGCTAAGTAACAAGTACACTAAATTTAAATCTGAAATACAAGTAGGTCTTGTGTTGGAGATTGACTCAAAAGCACTGGTTGATGGTTTTAAAGCAAAGGAGGCACCCCCTAGAGAAGGCAAGGGTAAGTAACATAATAAGAATATCACTCACTTTGAATTAAAAACATTCCTGTGCCAGATAAACATATTGCTTGTTGCAAATGTTTGTTAAAGGTTTCAAGAGAATTTCAATTTCATTGCATTTCCAATGCAAATCCTTTACGGCTGATTAATGTACCTTGTGGTAATAACTTCACAAGAATGCTTTATATTGGTAATTGTGTGACTTTCAGGTGGATAATGTAACAAACCAACTGATCTTTAAAATTAGAATCAGGGACTCACAGTTTACTCTTGTAGGCATTTTACTCATTTCAGAGCTTTAGAAAGCTCTGTAATGAAAGAAATAAGAGGATCTTCTTTATGTAATGCAGTTCCAGTAGTTTGGGCTTGGAAATATATAGTGAAAGATTTAATTTTTTTGGGTAGGATGTTTCTCTTTTCTGATTCTTTTTTCATCTAATCTAAATCATTCTGTACTTAAATAGTGTTCTATTTAGAAGTTTTTGTCATATCATCCACTTAACTGTTGGCACTCGTTTCACTTCTGGATTGCCTTGTACATTCCTCTCAAGATTAATTAGTGAAATGTGTCAAAAATCTATTAGAACTCGTAATATTAATGCTAGTAGGTGTCTCTATTTATATTCTGTGCTTTTCTTTGTATGTGGGTTTTTTTGATGCAAGTTTTGTAATTAAAAAAAAAAACAACCCAAACAACAACAAACCCTTAGAAGTTTGATTAAAAAACAGACCCTCAAAACAAGAACAGATTTACATCCTGCTGTTCTCCACCCGAAAGCTGATCCACTTCACTTCTAAAAACTAAGCCTCTGTTAGAACTAGTGTATTTTTCACTACTTACCTTACAATTACCTTACCTTACTTTGCATTCTTAGCTTGAGGGTAACTTTTTCTAATTCTGAATTTGTCATCTGCTTATGATCTGTGTCTGTGGTTTTGTAAAAACAAAATTCAGTGCAGTGTTTTGCAAGGTTTCTGGCCTAGATGTTGGCCTGGCTGCATTGCAAGTGTGGTTAAGCACTATTGAAGTTCCAGTGTAATCTCGTAGCTTACTTGATCCTTTCAGGTTCACAACAAAGCACAGGGAATTCTGCACACTGTAAAGTTTGCAAAGCAGGCAAGGAACTACTGTAAATGGTTTGCTAATTTGCACTTCCCTTGTGATCCTTCTGCCCACAAGCTCTCCTACCCCTCATGACAATGGCAGAAAATACAAGAAATCCCTTCTGCCTGCATGCAGCACTGTTGTCCACTTAATTTCTGTGGAATACTTGATACAAACAAGTTTGCCAGCTTTTCACTTTCTTGTCATCTCAAGATTAGCTGATACCATGTTCAGGCAAGGGGGGCAGACAAACATGTAGATTTTTGCAGGTTTAAAGTTAATGTTCCAAGCACTGGATATGACAAAGCTAGACTATCCAGTTCTAGTCCAGTCAGATAGTTAAGGAGATGTTTTCCTCTTAGGATTCATACACTGATTTTTTTTGAAATATTTTTTTCTTCACTGACCTAAGTGGTCTAAACTTGCCAGTGTTTGAAATAGAGCCTTTTGGTTCACAGCCAAAAGTGCTGTGCAATTATTAGTATTTGGTGTAACCTGAGGTGCTTTGAAATGTCTTGAATTACTGGCACTGTAGAGCAGAAACTAGTAAACCAGAATACAAAGTGTTTTATGCACTGAAGACTTCAGATAAAAAAATCTTCAAATGAAACAAACATTCCAAAGGTCTGTGGAATGAGACATCATACTTCTTTCAACAATTGAACAGGTTGTCATATGTAGTTACTCTCTTGCATTTCCTTTAGTGAGTAAAATAAACAGTGTGGTAGACTCTAACCTAATTCAGTAAAGTTACAGTCACTGTAATATTACTCACATTAAATAAAAATACGCACTAACATTCTGTCTAGCATAGTGTTCAAAATAACATCTGTGCCCACTAAATAGCAATTAATTTCAGATTTTTTTTTGTAGCTGTACTGAAGTATACTTAGGGATTTTTTTGTGTTGAACTGCTTTGGAACCAAGCAACAAGATATTTGTAATTTTTCTTTCCACATGTACAATAATTAAAGGTAAAATTACAATTATATATAAGATTCCTGCAGCAATTAGCAAGGTCACAAGTTACTTAATTTTTTTCTTCTCTCTTAGCATCCGTCCTTCTTTCTGGACTAGACCCTAGAAGTATTGTACCAGTCTTGAATGAAGAAGAGGGCTATCATCAGATTGGACCAGCAGAATATTGCAGAGACTACTTTGTCTTGTCTGTAACCATTGCATTTGCCACACAGTTAGAACAGGTTTGTTTCCTTTCTATATGTAGTTTTTAAGAAGTGCTATCCTACATTTGTACTTTTTGTCCGCCTATGTCTTATTTCTAGTTATGATTTTTTTTATTTTAAGTTTCTTGAAATAAACAGCTTTGTCTAATATTGAATTAATATACATTAAATTTTAAAACTTTATGTACTGCTTACATGTCAAATTACATATGAAAGATAAGAATTCTTTTGGAGCACTAAAATGGCTTTTATTTTAAGTTATGCACTTCTATGAAATGCATAATTTTATATTACAATATAGTATAAAAAGTATGCATATGGATACTATCAGTCTTGTGTGTGGTGCCTATGTGCTGAAGTTGAAACAAGGCAAAATACGTTTCAGATCCATACAATACATGAAACAGACTTTGTATGTTGCCAAAGGGAAGGACTTATTAGTTTGGATGAGGTGCCTTGCTAATGTGATTTCTTCATCTTTAAACCTCAGCTGCTGTGTTCATGCTGTACTGTATCACACTGATACACATCATCTGATTTAAAAATGTAGGTATGCCCAAGTTACTGTGAAAGTCATGATTCCAAGCCAACGTGATTTTCGTTTATCTATAACTCATAGTTGTCATGGTTTAAACCCAGCTGGTGGCCAAACACCATGCAGCAACTCACTCAACCTCCCCCATCCCAGGGCAGGAGGGAGAGAATCAGAGGGGGAAAGGTAAGGAGACTCATGGGTTGAGATACGAACAATTTAATAATTGAAATAAAATAAAACTAAAAATGATAATAATTATGATAACAGAATATACAAATGAGTGATACACAGTGCAGCTGTTCACCACCTGCTGACTAACACCCAGTCTGTTCCCAGCTAGTGGTCCTGGAGGAGAGAAAATCCCAAAACTACAATCCCGGGGCGGGGGGAGAGAGAGAAAGAGAGAGGGAGCTTCCCAGCCAACCCTCATCTACATACTGAGCGTGATGTTGGATGATATAGAATATCCCGATGCCCAGTTTGGGTCCATTGCTCTGGCTATGCTCCCTCCCAGCTTCTTATGCATTTCTTAGCAGCAACTAAAAACGTCGATATGTTATCAACGTTCTTGGCATACCAAAGCCCAGACCAATCCAAAACACAGCACTGTTCTGGCTACTAAGAAGAAAATTATCTCTATCTCAGCCAAAACCAGGATAACAGGGTATGATAAACTCTATTCAGTCTTGTCTCTTTTTTTTTAGAGAAAATAGTTTTCCATGTTAGAATTATAGGGCCTTGTGAAGTAAATTTACTATGGTCATTCTGGGGTACCTTGTGCCTTTTTAGGAACTGAACTCACAATTGCAGTGGCTACAAGATGAGTAGCTGTTTCTGGCTGTTCCAGTCTTCTATTCAATCACATGTGTTATTATATAACTGTATCTAATCTGCATTGTTTGTTTACACTATAAATATTTTGTGTAGCCACTGCTTATTTCTGAATATTTATGCAGTGCTTGACGTTATTGAATGTATTATGTCAGTTACAGCCCTTCGTGCTGATAATCTTAAAGGAAATTCAAAATGAGTCATTTTGCAAGTTTGTGGTATGCTTTCAAAGCAAGTTGTTGTTTCGTTTTGTTGTTGTTGTGGTGTTTGTTTTTTTTTAATTCAGTTTAAGTATTAATATAGATGTTTTTATTTTATGTGTGTAGTGCAAGCTAGGATTTAGGTTACCTGTTGAGTAGTCTGACATCACTTTAAGCTTGTTAATTTCCAAGCTAATGCTTAAGGATTACTGTAACCGTGCATTAATGAAAGAGATACATGCTTCTTTTCTGCATCTTTTTTAGTTAGTTCCTAGTACTATGAAGCTTCCTGAGCGGCAGCCTGAGTTTTTTTTCTACTACTCGTTACTGGGAAATGATGTCACAAATGAACCTTTCACTGATTTAATTAATCCAAACTTTGAGCCAGAAAGAGCTTCAGTTCGAATACGTAGTGCAGCTGATGTCCTTCAAGTTTATTTTTGTGCACAGTCAAAATTGCAGGTGAGCTGTTTCTTCTCAAATGTGAACGAAAATAAATAATTAAAAAAATATATAGCTAAAACTGAAACTGGAAAGCATTTCTTCTTCCAAAACTAGATTGCATTGCAGTATTTTGGGTCAAATATAAGTTGATTGTCTTGCTGATATGAGGGGAAAACCAGCTCAGATGGAGTGCAGTCTCTTTAGTACAGTTGCTACAGTAAGCTGGGTTGCACACCATGATAAAAGGTATTACTGAAACATAATATTCACAAAGAGTTAATGGGGTATTCTCAGGAGCTTTAAGCTCTAGGACCTGCTCTGCAATCAGACCATCTGCAACCCACAGTCCTGCCTTGTGCTGCCTGTGGTAACCTCACCCACACCAACTGCTCAGGTCGCCCTTGCCGAAGTTGTAAAGTGACAGCCCTCAGCAGTCTTTGTGAATAATAAGGGACGTCTGTCTCTTTTCCCGCTCCTTAGCCAAATACTATTTTAAATACACTATGGCCATATTTGGGCTGTTATGGGATGTTGTTTATCTTTAGCTCGACCTTTATATGGGAGACATGGTTTAGTGGTGGACTTGGCAGTGTTAGGTTTATGGTTGGACTTGATGACCTCAGGGGTCTTTTCCAATCTAAACGATTCTATGATTCCAAGTATTGGGTGGTATTGGAAGTGTTTATGGCAATCTGTGCCTGGCTCACCCTTAACTCATTACAGAATGAGACTATTTTGTTGGGGGCAGTGTAGGGTTTCCAAATGACACAGCTGGTAAATTAGCTTAGTTTTACAATGTAAGTCTTAGATCTGAACCCTTTTAAGGTTATTTTTCTTTAAACTTGTATAGACCATTCTCGTTTTCTTATCCAGGTTAGTTTAGGAATGTTTCTGTTTCAATCTATGTTGTTTCAGATTTTTTTTCTCTCAACTTTAGATATTTTTCTAATGACAGTTTTTGGAGAAACAGATGCATTTATGTGTTTGTTTCAAGTCCATAGCCTAGGATTAAATTCCAAAGTATTAAATATAGCGTATATTATATATATGTACACATAGAGAGAATTGTGCTTGTTTTCATCATGGCGAAGAACACCCTTTTGAACAATAGCTGTCATGAGGTCCAATCCGCATTTTGATTTACAGTTTTCTTTCTCTGATTTCTCACTCAGCTTCTTCAACTGTAGGATACAGGGTCTTAGCACTGTATTATGATCCTCAATACTTAATTTTTTTTTTTCTTAAAATGAACACTTCAGTCATGAAAGGTGCTAACTGCCAGACTAGGGGAGGTGTGTGTGTATATAGTGTATGATTGTATTTATATATATATATGTGTGTGTATGTACATATATATGTATATACCTAGGTGTATATATTGACAGCTGACACCTTTTAGCATTAAAGTCTTCACTGAGTGTAATAAATGTTAAGGATCACAATACAGTGTTCTGATCTGCTAAAACAGAGCAGAAGTGATTTATTTGGGAAAGAGCAAGTTGGTATGTAAATTTCACTGAGGAAAATAAATTACCTTAGTGTGTTTGTTTTTTAAGATCCATCTTTTACTTAGGTGTGTAAATGTTAAACTGTGGAAGGAGTCAAGTTTTGAAAAAGGAATAATGATTCTTACCAGAAATTAAGAACACAGTTACTTAATTTCAAAAATACTTGGCTATTTAGGTGGTGTCTAAATATATGCACAAAGGCTGCACTTTCAGCTAAGTTTTTTCTTCTTTTCCTTGCAATCATGCTTTTCATGTGCTTACACATTAAGGGCAAGAACCTGTGCTGTGTTTAGAAGCCATAGACTATTGAATTTGTCCTCCAGAATGGATGATATGACAGATGCTCAGAAAAGCAGTGCAGTGATCTGCTGCTGTGCTAGCACTGGGCAAATCATACCTCCTCAATACTGAAATTTCATAACTGTTCTTATTCTGCTCAAAGCACTTGGTCTCAGCATACAGGGACTAGGCTAGGGATTATAATTTTAATTTTTTGTATTTGTGCTGCCTTTTTGTAGAGGGTGAACAGACAGTTCAAATGGAAATGGAAAACCAGTTACTTTCTAGCGCTTTTTTATGTGTACAGATCCATCTTTGCTGTGGAGACCAGTCTCTTGGAAGCACTGAAATACCCCTGTCTGGACTACTGAAGAAAGGAAATGTGGAGATTGAGCAACACCCTGTGGTGATAGAAGGAGTATTTGTCCTTGTTCCACCAAACAGAGCTAAGCAGAAACTGCCACAGTTGCCTTTGGATATGGCTCCTACTCTTGGGGTATCTGTAACTTTGCAAAGGGAAAGCTTGAGTACCCAGGTATGGCTTACTTGTTTAATGTTGATTTAGACACTGTTGCACAGTTTCGTGTTAAAAAGAAAAACTGGTATTTGTAACTTGTAATATAGAAGAAAACATGAAAGAATAAGTTGCTTTGTATGAATAATCCTGTCATTGATTAATTTCTCTATGTCAGGAAGATAATCTCAAACTATAAAAATGTTGTAGACAGCATTTTTCAGTGCAAGCCATGATCAATAAGAAAACTATATCCCTTCAATTCAGCCTCTGATTCCTGTAAATGCTCCAACTGAACCTGAACAGCCACAGGAGAAAATTCTTTCACCTGTTAGTGAAAAAACAGAGAGCCTGGAGCAGAGATCCCAGAAAGTCCTGTCTCAAGCTGACCACTCTTCTCCAACAGAAAATGAAGCAACAGAAAGTGAAGTGGAAAGTCTTAAGTTTGAAAAAGACACGAAACTAAATAAAACAGGTGTGTGTTATGTAATCTTTTCCCCAATTGTCAAGTATGGTCTTGAATCACATACTACTTACTCGTTTATGGTGTTAAATTTCAGGCAAGCCCAGAGAGGTTCTAGATGCTCCATCCTGGAAACATTCAAGGTCAGGCCGGACAGAGCTCTGAGCAACCTGATCTTGTTGAAGATGTCCCTGCTCATTGTGGGGGCGTGGTTGGACTAGCTGACCTTTAAAGGTCCCTGCAAACCCAAAACGTTCTGTGATTTACATAAAACAAATGGCAAGAGGAGAATAAATTTAATTTGAACACAGTGGTTGTTGAAAACACTGGGAAGAGCCAGGTTGCAAATTTGGTGGTGTGTAGATTAGAAGTGACTTGGATAGTCATCAGCTTGAAAAATAATGCCGGAAATGTATGAAATTCCCTGAATTTGACAATGGGAATTTCAATTTGACAATACTCATGAGGAAACTGACTTACTCAATGAGGAGATGAAATGATCTAATGTTCATATTTATTAAACAGAAAGGCAGGGGGAATGTGAAATTTTTAACATTTCTAAGGAGTTTACTATGTAGAAGATAAATTGTGAAAACAGACATTCATACTTTACAGATTCCTGGACAAGCAACTGGGTTTTCTGTTTGTTTGTTTGGGTTTTTTTTATGCATTATCCTTCTGTAGGAACTTGGTAGCCCACACAGCCTTCTAAGGCTTCCTTAGTGGTGTGTTTTGGTTTTGGTTTGTTTTTTTTTTTTAGTTGAGGGCTGGGTGGAAGAGAAGTTGAAGAGCAACTAAGATCAGAGAGGAAGAAATGCTGTAACAGAGTAAAGCTTAGAAGAAAGAATGTTAGTTTGCTAAACATTACTGAATATGCATCTTCAGAGATTATTTATGAGTCAAGTAGAATAATTGTTTTCTAATAGTATATGAATTACTGTTCTTTTGAGATTAGTCCTAAAGACACCCAGTTCTATAGAGGAAAACCTGTGTCCTAGAATGTGCTCTCAGGATTTGTCTGCTTACCTCAGCCAAATTTTCTTTTAATCCTAATTGATCTTGTCTAAGCAAGGATTAAGTCCTTTATGTGGAATGTATCAATAAGTATTGTGAACCCAGCAACTAGTTTGAATCTGCAGTTAAGAAATCTAGGATTGTACTTTTTTATTAAAAGTAATAGTAATTTTATAACTCAGTTTTGGCAAGATGGAAAACATGTAATTTCACATTTGTCTTTCAGGACTGGTCGCTGAGTCTGGCCAAGAGATTAACAAACAGTGTACTGCAGAGCTTCCAGTTTTCAAATCGCAGAGAGCAAAGTCACCTCTCTTGTCAGATCTGCAAAATTCCAGTAATGCAAAATTTATCGAATTTGGTACATTGAATGAAATTTGAATATAGTAGCAACTTAAACTAATTTTAGCAGTAGACTGTATGCAACTTTGTATTCTCTTGTCTGTGACAGCCTTAAATTTCTATTCAGCCATTTCATTGCACCAAGCAACCTAGTGACATTTTACCTGAATGGCTGAAAATTATTTGATTCCTATATTGTGCTGACTAGCTGATGGTGAAGTATTATTGATTTTTTTTTGTTTTGTATTGTTACTGTTAATTAAAGAAAACATTCAAAAACAAGCACAAAAAAAATGAAGTCAATGCTAGCAATGATGTATTTCTCTAAAAGACCAGGTTTCTCAAAGCCTCATTCAGCCTGACCTTGAACACCTCCAGGGGTGGGGCATCCACAACTTCTTTGGGCAACCACTTTCAGTGCCTTACCACCCTCACAAGGAAAAATTTCTTCCTAAAACTAAATTACTACAAACAACTTTTTTTTTTTTTTTTTGGTAAGCCCACCTCTTCTGTATGCCCTCAAGTTGGTTAGGAACAATGATGTGAACTGTTGAAACTGGTCTGAGAGCATCCCTCTGAAGAATTTAGTATCTTTAATCTCAATCTAAACTTTTCTTTGGTGAGATAAACTTAGATAGCTTTGAAGATTAATAAAATTATATATTTTGTGGGTTTTGTGGTTTGGTATTTTTTTTCTTTGGAAGCAGTAACTTGCAAACAGAGTGGCTATTTTTCATAGTATTAGCCTATATTGCAAGGAATTGAAATCTTTTGGGAAGCAGACTAACTGTGCTTGCATTTAAAATGTGAGACCAATCTTTAATATATTTTGTTATTTTGGGCAGAACAAGTTATTAACAATTTGTACAAATTCTCTTCTGTGTTTTCAGCTGATAATGTTCCAGTAGCCGCACATCAGCCGAACCCTGCGAGTGTATCCAGTTCTTCCAAGCCTGCATCGTCACAGAAAATTGTCATTCCAGCAGCCTCTCACCATTTCTGCTTTTCAATAGACTTACGAAGTATACGTGGTCTGGAAGTTGGTTTTCCAATAAATTGCATTTTAAGGTATGATTTATTTTTTATCTTATTCTTGGTGATAACAATAGCTGTCTTTTCAATACAAAGCCTTCATAGTCTGAAAGATTGCCGGCAGTATGCTTCCTGATGGCTTTTAAGTGGCTGATTTTCAGTGGTGAAATAGTTGGCATGTTCGTCTGGCTCATCACTAGACTTCTGAGCATTACAATGTTAAAGATAGTATGTAACATTTCACCTGCACTGTAATTTGTATTAAATCTCATTTGAATGTCTGAGTTCAGGCAATACAGATGATCATTCAGTCCTTAGAGGAAAAGGAGGATTACTTGTCTCCCTACTTTCGGCTGCCTTTCCAGCTGATTGAAGGAGTGTTTTCTGTAGCTTTCCATGCCTCCACCAAGAACTCCTTGTAGTGTTTTAATAAGAGACAGATCACCTGGTTTGTGTGTGACAGTGAATTGAAAGGAAGTGCATGCTAGTCTTGAAGTGAAGAACCAGTGTAGTAAATGCATTAGCATTTTGAGATGTAGTATCAGGGTTTTTTGGTAGTCTTTGCATGCAAGAAGCAAAGCTTAGGAGAGAGAAGTAGCATCTTTCGTGACATTCATTTGTGGAATTACAAAAAAGACAAGCTTTTTGGACACATGAGTTTTGTGCCTGAAGCAAAAGTAAAAAACTACCAGTGCTAGTTTGGAACAATTACTTAGAGATTAGTTTGTTACTGATGTCAACATGAAAGAAAAGTACGGGAGCACTTTCGGAGCATAAGGAGATGTTAGCTGGGATGTGAATGCTAAGTTGGAGGAATAAGAACTAAAAAGGTGAAAGACCGATTAAAAGTAAAGGTATTGAAACCAGTATCTGCATGCAAGTTGGGTTTTTTGTTTTTAACACTGCCAGTGAAGAGAAACTTTCTTTTATCAATTTGTTAATTTTGGTTTAGGTTTTCCTTAGAGTTTAGGATCGAAAGTTCAGAGGTACAGGGATGATTTCTGTTGTTGTTGTTTTCTTGAAAAAAAGAAATTCCTACTTGTGGAATATTAGTTATTGATGGCATATGTTAATTCAGTGTTTCACAGCAGTTTTTACAGTTTACCTTCTAGTTTCCATTAGGGCCCTTTTGGTGCACATGATGGTATCTCTAAGTGGTATTTTGGTTTGACAGTGAATATACGTGGAGGTGCAACTGCATCTGCTTTGGATTTGTTGTTCTGACAGTTTTGTTCAATAAAGTGTTAAATGAACACTGGGAAGTCTATTCATGTTAATGATTCTGGGAGCTTGAGCTTTGTTTGAACTAGGAAGAAAAGGAGGGTTTGGGGAATAGTTTTAAAACACAACTGAAACAGAAAATCATTAATGATGCAAGCTGTATAGGCTGTATTATAAAATAGTATGTAGAAAACAATGTACAATGGGTGGAATTTTGTAATGAAAAGCTTTTTCACATAACATTCCAAAAATAGATTTTCTTCAGAGCAGTGACAAGAAATAGGTTTTGCTGTTTCATGGGCTTTGGTTTTTACAGTCAGTGATGAATATGGCAAGAAACTGAAGAGGAGAAACATACAAACATGCTGAGAAAAATGCAGGGTAAAAAAATTGTGTTTTCACTGTATATTGGGAACGTTGTTTCATTCAGGTCTAAACAAGCTCTTTAAACAGTGTTGCACAAGCAGGAAGTATGGGATTTTATAAGTGCCAATATTTGATGCTGCATTTATTTTATTAGTAACTTAGCTGACAGCTGGCATCATTAATTTGAGCAAAGCGAAGTTCAAGAGGTTTTTGGCCTTCCCTTTTTTATAGTTTGTCATACACTGAGTTGTGCCAGTAGAGTAGTTTCAGGCGACATTGTAAATCATATTGGTAAAATGATTTAGTGAATTAAACTGTGGTAATTAAAAAGAAAAACCTAGATTCTTGAAATGTGGCTGAAATTTTGGAACGGTTCTGACACCAGTTATCAATTATTGTGTTAGATCAGTCTTAGCTCTAAACATAGTTATAAATGTTCTCAAGTAGCAATCTATGTCTGAATATAATATTCCTTTCTTCTGTTTCTCTGCTCACTTTATATAATGATTGCAGAATTTTAATAAAACATTAATTCATATAGTTGTGAACATACAGGTTATTAAAGATTTTGTTGTCAAAATAACAGCAAATACAAATGAAGCTGGATCAGGGCTGAAGTAAATGAAAACACTAATTGAGAACTAAATTGTTGGATGTATTTGTGCAAGTTTTGCTAACTTTAATACAAATCATGCTTCAGTAAAAGATGTCTAAATTGGTTTTCTTGTTGCAGAAGATATAAGAAAAATATCTCTTTATTAAACTAAAAATTTGATTATTTTTGTTACTGTTTTTATTAGGTACTCGTATCCATTTTTTGGCAGTGCAGCACCTATTATGACAAGCCCGCCTGTAGAAGTCAGAAAGAACATGGAAGTCTTTCTTCCACAGTCCTACTGTGCGTTTGACTTCGCAACTATACCTCATCAGCTTCAAGATACTTTCTTCAGGTGATAACTTATATTCTTTTTATCTTTTTCTATTTTTTGTTGTAAATCCAGTCCCAAGTTCTAAATTTTTACTTAAGATCATCAGTTTGAGCATTTAGTAAAGATTTCAAGTGCTAATGCTAACGAATATTTAATACACTGCTCTCCTAGTTTCTCCTAGTTTTCATAACGACAAGGACTCTAAAATATTTGCTTTTATCTCTTGAGTACTTATGCAGGGATCATTGCTTACAGAAACAAGAGCTGTTGCTGTTAAGTTGTTAAATTAAAGGTCGATAGGGTAGTTTGAACAAAGCATTACTTCAAATGAAATAGGTAAGGGTTTTTTATTTTTCTTTTTGATACACTGTGACTATCCGGTATCTCTGAAAACACGTCAAGTACCTAGGAAGCTGAGTACAGTGTTAAAGGTTGTGGCACAGTATTCCCAGTAGTCCCACAAGCTTTCGGTAGCTGCTTAAGGTGTGGAATAAAGAATCATCAAAATAGTGGTATTTTGAAAGAAGAGGTGGCGGAGATGTATTCCATGAGTGGCGGTGACTAAAATTTATTTATAGATACTTATAAATGAAGATGATCTAGGTCTGTTAAGATTAGTTAGTGAGTCACTTTCACTGCAGCATTGTTGTTTCTAATAATTGGAGAAAGGAATGATAATCTGACCAAAATGAGTATGTGATGGAGAAGATACAACTCAGTCAATCTCTTTCCTCTGTGGCTGAGAGGCAGTAAACCCATTTCATTGTTTGACAGTTGTGACCGTCACTGACTTTGGGAGTTACTTTTAGAACATGAAGTCCTTTTCCCAAATGAATAGGAATGCATCCTGTTTTGTGTTGATGCCTGACACTAAAATCACTTCTTTGTTTCAGATTACCTCTGCTGGTTGAATTGTGGCACAAGGATAAAACAGCTAAAGATTTACTTCTAGGGGTGGCGAGACTTCAGCTTTCAAATGTTTTGGCTTCGGAAAAAACCCGGTTCTTGGGTGGTAATGGTGATCAATGCTGGCGTCAGACTTGTAGTGAAACAGTCTTTGTCACAGCAGCACAGGGGTAAGACTCTTTTAAAAAATTTACTTACTCTGCAGCAAGTTTTGAGGAATTGTTTTTTTAATATTTCCCTGAAAAAGGGAAAGCTCTTCATGTTTACCTTTTTGAATATTCTGCAGCCTGTTTACCTATTCAGAAAGGTTACCAATTCAACTGCGATATAGGAGTGGGAATAGGCATCCAAGAGATTAAAAGTTAAATTGCCGCAGGCATATTGTGCGACCCCCCATACCACTACCAGAGTCATTGTAATAAACCTTGGTATAATCATGATCTTGTGTGAGCTTCACAGACAGATTAGAGAAATAAATAATTGGAAAAAATGTTATTGAAGTGCTTTCCTGAGTAAGTTACTTAACAGTTACAAAAAGCTGATTCCAGAAAATAGCTAGGACTGTTTGTCCAGAGTATGCTTTTAGATGCAACTGACTTCAGTGAAAGTTAGGAAGACAGATATATCCATAGAAAGGAGAGATTTCCTGTTTCAGGATTGTACCCTGTGATAGTAGCAGGGGTTTGAGCTTTTGTGTACATCAGAAAGACCAGTGTTATTAGTTGATACCCTGTCTGAAGATAAATGTCAATTTACGTAGAGGGGTGATAGTCTTTTTTTATGTATATGAAGAAACTTAATTTATAGTCACTTCTGTCCTGCATCCTTGTTGAAGATGTGAACTGTGATAGCAATCAGTGTCTAGACCATCATCTTTTCCGGTGTGGTAACTGAGATTTGATTATGCCTTTAGAAATAAATGGAATTGCTTTTGAGGCTGAAGTTGGTTTTAAACCTTGAAATACTAGGGCCTGAGCAGTGAGGCCCTGAACCAAAGCTGACTTCTAGGTGAACCTCACAAACAGTGTACCTAATATGTATAATATTGATCACA